TGGGGGGCCCCCCCCCCCGCCACTGGCGGGGTGGCCAGCCAGTTGGCGCGCCACGGCTGGCCGTGAGGGAGATTTTCGGCTACTAAGCTCCAGTTATGTATGCGATTTTTTTTAACGAGGGTCTCCGTTTTGGTTTTGGTCTCTTTGCAGTTGTATGTTTGAGCCCGTGGTGCTTACTTTGAGACAACCCTCTTGGTTATCGAGCCAACAGGCGGCGCCGACAACACTATTGGCGGACCCATGCAGCTAACCTACGGCCGTTTCTCTCAATCTACGTCTTCGTTATTGACGTGTGCGCTAATAAAATAAAAACTTGAAGCCGCTTTTTGAATTGATTGTCTCCAAGGCCCTGGGCCTGGCAAGGTGTCCCCTACGAACACCCAAGACACTCCGGACACAAAATTGTCGCATTCAGCACAATGGCGACTAGGTCAAGCTTTCTGGGCATTCTGCCAGGGATGTCTATAAAACTAACCCTCCTGGGACTTCTGAGCGTATGGAATGGGGCAATGATATGCGCCATGGCGAGCGAACGCCAGCACGGAATTTCGCCCCATTCTTGGCTGGCGGAAAGGATGATGGTTGGCCCCAGTAAGCTGTACAAAACATAAAGTATGAATAAGTGCTTTCTCAGCTCTCGTTTCGTGGTCCGAATGTAACTATCAATCATGCCGAATCCCTGTTTCTTGGCTTACCACCGTAATGATTACCCCTATTCACATTCGCTCCTGTATGCTTTCAGATGTAAAAGAACGCTCGTTCCCGCAGAATTCCTTGTCCTATGGGCTCAAGAAAAATCAGAATAAGGAAAAGCATGCCGCATACGGGCAGTCATTGGTGGAAACTGGAAGGGAGAGGACAAAACTTGTTGGACTTTTGGAACACGAACAGATATTGGCCTATTCGCAGAACCTCCAGTATGCGTTCAAAAAACGTGAGCGGAACAGTCAGTTTGACTTTGGATTCAACCAATGAAGGCAGCGTTGAGATCATAGGAATCTCATGGGTTCCCCTGATTGTGATCCTTGCTGCTTTCATGTGTGCATCTTCAGACAGCAAATTTACGCATTCCTTCCAGTTTTTGCGGGAGTTATTTTCGACGAATCCTTTCCTGAAGTTTGTTGCAGTCCGTTACAGAGAGCGGGTGAACATTGTAAATGCGCTCGAGAGGGCTGCAGAGAGATGGACTCCAATGCGGAAAGGTAAGCCGTAGGGAGATAAATCACGTAAGCACCAAAACAATTACGAAAAGAAAAGTCTCCACTGAGAATACCTGCTCGATGGCCAATGAATGCTTGCAGATAAGGCAGTCGCCGCTGAGGAGGTCATGGCGTCGTTAGTTCTACGACAGCGATACACTTTGAGGAAATCGCTGTTGAATCGAAAAGCGTATTTGCACTCCAGAAGAGAGATCCTTGCAGCGCTCAGGGCTGTCAACGCTGGAGGGCATGCACTGGACCTAATTTTGGCGAACAAAGGTGGGCGAGCGAATCTTTCATGCACTGTGCAGCTCTGCGACACAGCAGAGCTCAATTATTTCCCTACGACATTCTCGTTTGTGTGCGGTTCTTTACTCTCCAGGCAAACCAATATTCTCGTGGACAATGTCATTGTGGGCAAATCCCCTGGCAACACTTTCCAACGTAGTTAGTGCCGCTTTCGACGAGACGTTCGAGGGAGCTTTGGGCCTTCCAACAGGAGAAGTCAAGAGTGCTTGCTTCTCTTTCGGTTATCGCATCAACAGCATCGCTCCATATACTGCTGTGCTTCCGGGAGGAGTTTTTGGCTCCGTGTTGAAGTCGCTTTCCCGTTCCTTCATGCTCGTATTCTACCCCGCCTACGCAAGCTTCAGAGGCATCTTCTCTCTGATGATAGGCGTAATATGCAAAACGGGAGTGCTTGCTGCTGTCAAGAACCTTTTCAAAGCTCTGGCCAATATCACCCGCTTGGGACTGCGCGGCATTCGAATTTTGTTCCGCCGGTTTGGTAGGCCTCTCTAGCTGGTGCTCACCTGGTGCAGCTACCAAAAACTGCCTACTTGACTAGTCGATTCTCAAAAATTTTCGTCGCTTCTCTCCACACCATAGCGCACAGCGTTATACTAAAACGGCCTGCATTTTGAATGAAAACACTCCACATGTTTTTTCGTGTGAATTTGTTGTGTTCAGCTGTTCGTGGAGATCCCGTGGCGTGGCCGCTTCTGCAGGACCTGCTTCGCAATGCTTCGCCCGCGATGATCACTCTTCTGTTCCAGCTGTATGCTGTCAATGTAAGAGATATTACACAGAAAGGAAAGCGTGTAACTCAAGCCCTTGCTGCTGGCAGTGCTTCCTGGAATTACGCGGACGGTCTTTGGGTCGGAGCTTTTGACTTCAGCCGAGCATTCATTGACACCATCAGATCTTATAAGCAAGGGGCAGAAGCCTTTGTGGGGTATTGTGAGAGCAAGGTGAGATCTGGACTGCTTTATGTGAACCAGGTTGACTTAAACTGCTACCCAGTTACCCTTTTTGGAAAAATACACTTGTGCGACCGCCTCACGTAACTATTCTGTGGCTCAACACCTTTTGCTGCTTCACAGGCTGCGGAAACCCAACCTGGGACCCCACCAGAGCAAGCAATGATAGATTTGACGTCCGAAAAATCGACTTCAGCGGAGTCAGATGCAGAGGCATTCGATAACGCATCGGATAATGATGTACCGGGAAGCCTTCCTGAGGAGCCGATAACAGAAGATATAATGATGGCCTTTAAAGCAATTGTAAGTGCCTCCCTGCCATGCAATATACGAAGACAGTAGAATGTGACAGTACCCATTTTTAAATTTCATACGCTGATATGCATGCGTAATCTGCGCGAATTTTGCTCGTAGGCTCCTGGCGCCAAAGTATCTCCAGGAGAAACGAGAACCCGCCTAGACTTCGCCGTAAGTTTAAGACGTTAGGACGCTTACCTGTGGGCCGTCGGCTGCCTCTCATCATGCTGTTTTCTCGCACAGTGTGAAAATATTATATTGGCTCCCTATGTGTCAAACATCTGTGCAGTGCCGGAAGTACAAAAAGTTTGTAACTTCCTTTAGAGAAGAACCCTTGAAACACGTGCACTCAGTGGTGAAACAGGCAGTCAAAATCCTGAAGTACGACTACAAGTTCTTCCAGTCATACGTTGGCGAGATGATGTCAATCTTTTACGATTCTGCATTTGTGCTGCTGAATGCGGACGTGGCTAATGTTTTGAGCGAAAAGCTACCTCTCGAGTCGATGGGTGATCGAATTCAAGCTGCCATGGCAAGTTTTCAACGATACAGGGAGGCTGCAGCTGAAAGCAGCAAGACAGCTCTTCCAAGGAAAATGTTCAGGGAACCTTGGTTCATTAAATCTGGGAGAGCTTTGGCACATGGTTTCTTCGAAAGCAGTACGGCCTTTTAATAGCCGCATAAGCTAATAGTCAGCGGTAGCAGCGCATGCCGGATAGGTAGCCCAATATAATTGTCAGGCTGTACGAATGCGGTTCGTGATATCAGCGAGCATTATGCTTGCGGTTCGCGACTTTGTTTTCAGCCGCTGGCTTGTCGCTGCACTATGTCGTGGAAGACATGGGGGACGAAACACTCCGGAATCGCCGGGACAGAGCGGCGTTCAACCTTCTCGAAAGCGGCGCTCAGAAGCTACGTGAATCTGTAAACTCGCTGTACGGTCGCTTCCTTGAAAGCAGCATTATGATACGCCGCTTGGAAGGCAATAAATCGGTGAAGACCGTCCAAGACTTCGTTTCTAAATGCAACCCCCAACTGGGCGTCCCGGATACAGACGTATGCGGCAAAGTGGTGACATCCGAAGTGGATGCGAATTTATTTGTAAGGGAAGCACTTTTCTCACTTCACGTACCTATGGCGGTTCCCTCCGGCGATATAGCTGCCCTCAATGATGCTGCTCTAGGTGACGTCTTTGGCCGTTGGCGGGAGTTTTCAAGACTTTCCCAGGATAACCAAGCCGTTGCTGACGCAGCTAGCGACCGAGGTGATTGGCGAACACGTTGCACCTCACCAAGTTGTACGAGATTTAATTATTAAGTGCGAATCAGATGAGAGCAATGTGCCAATGTGCAACGGTGCGGTCTCCTCTTCAGCTTCCATGAAGACCTTTCTTCAGTACCTCCGCCAGTCCGTCGTTAGCCGAGTAAGTCAGGTGCCAACGCTACGAACCCTTCGGTTTAACATATTTGATGCTGCCTGTGAGTCCAGCTGGGTGCGTTTTGGTAGCAAGTGGAACCGGTTTTGTGTGTGTGCATGCTCTACAGTTGGTGTTTAACCGGTTCGACTTTGCCGACGAATTTACAGCCCTGATCCTGCATGACTCCAACGGACGCAGCATCAAGTTCACACGTACGGTTCACTACAAAAACTTAATTAAAGGTTTTCGATCAGCCTAGCCTAATTTTGCGTTGCGTGGAACATGTATATGCAATTCTAAAGTGTGTTTACGTGTGTGGACGTTCTTGCGAACTTTCAGCGGAAAATGCCGAGGACGTGAGAGGTAAACTGCACGCGTAGTCCCTTCTGAGGGCGAAACTGTCGCAACCTATAGTTAGTCGTGGGTATACAACTCCACCTTCTACGGCATTCAAAAGCTAAATGAAAGCATACTGAAAGAATCTTTTTTTCTGCCTTCCGTTTTTGCAGCTCTCAGCGGACGGCAAGGAGGTACATCCGCTAAGTTTCGGCCATCGCCCCTAAGCGCTAGCTGTTGGTTCCATCTCGACGAAGGCAATAGGGGGACACTGCAGTTCCCAATCGCATCAGACCAGGCCGTGCTTGAAGGTCTAGAGCCAGCGACAGGGGCAGGAGCTCCAGCGGAAGGCGTGCCAGTCCACAAAATCGCTGGAACGATTAAGTACAACGACCCGCGGGAAGAGCTTGTATCTATAAAGGAAGACCCATCGGCCGTGCGCGATGTAATTGTGGCAAAGTTTATTGACGTGCATGGGAGGGCTTCAGCTGAAATGGTACGTCTCCACATGACGCTATTTCTGTGCACACTAAGACACGGAAGAGCATTTAAGCGCTCGCGCCCGGATGCTTTCAGCGGGGAGCACTCATTAGCACCCGCTAACAAAAAGGCGACGCTAAATCTTCAATTTGTGTTGCGGGTGGCTAAACAGATGGCGAGCCTACTTCATCTTATCCACTCCAAGTCAGAATCCTTCTGGAGTCACAGCCCATCAGTCTTTATGCAAAACCTTACTCCGAAAATGTTTTTCGATGCACTCCACGCTCTCTCAACCACTGCAAAAACAAGGCCAGCCACCAGTGTGATGCTAGAAGGTCGTCTGTACACCTTCCCACTTAATTTTGCCACTGTAAAAAGCATCGTTTTGGGCGCCATGAATCGGTTGATCGTGCGCATGCACAGCCTCGATTCTAAGGATATGGTTTCTGTTTTTATGATGACAGTGGCCTACTTGACATACCAAAAGATCCAGAAACACCGTACCGGGAAAACACTGGTTATGAGCCTATATCAAAGGGATGTCTTGCATTTGCTACTGGCCCAAAAACGTGGAGAGCTGCTCGAGGAGGCCCCTCACTGCGCATGGCTTAAAGAAAATACGCAGAGTGCAGATGAACTAATTGTCAAGTGCTCGGCCCTACGCTTCTTCAAGATCGGTAGTGTTGATAATATTGCAGAGGCTGATAAGGTTAGTAACATTCACACAATCTGGAGTCCCGATACCTGAAAAATTGCAGCTTTTGTTGCGTTTTTCCCTTTCTCCTACAATTGTTTGCAATACGGCTTGTACGGCTCAGGAGGACATACGTAACTACATCTCATCATTCGTCGAAATTCTGGACAGCGTGCGCGGTTCAACTAGCTGGATGGACTTTCTCAACATTGACACATTTGCCGCTGAGGCTGATTTGTACGCCGCCACTGCTGCAAAGTATTCATACGACAAGCTGCTGAAGGAGTTACGTGTAGAATATGCAGGAGCAGACGAGGGACAAAGTCTTTCCAAATTGTACACTGACATTCATCCTGCCTTGGGTGGGCCTAGGCGGTACCACAAGGACCGTCGGGATCTCGTAACAGCATTGCGGGGCTATGCTGAGGACATCAGGAAGCTGCCAACCAGCCTCCGAAAGTCTCTGGCAATTTTCGTTAGGTCTTGCTTTGCAAAGCTCAGGAGATTCGTCGGCGCAAAGCAGTTTTCTCTCTTTAGCAAAATGTAAGTTGATTCTTCAAATTGCATCGTACCATGGTGCTGAAATGAGTTCTTGGCGTCTCAAGGCTTTGCTTAATTATGAAGGCAGTCCAATGCTTATCCTTCTAACTGTTTTGCAGCCGGCCAAACGTTTTGCATGGTACAACATTCATGGCTGCAGTACACGGGGCCGAGGGACGAGTATTCCCCAACCCCGAGCTCCGTCGTGGTCTGTTCATCGAAGCTCTAGACCTCCATGAATATGGTCGGCTACAGCTAGCCTTTGAGGAGCTAGCATTACTACTTTCCGATGGGCATTCCATGCAGAACATCATATCAGAACTTCGCTCTGTTCCCGTCCAAACAATAGAGGCGAGAGGTAACTGAGAGTTCACGAAACGAATATTCCACAGACGCCTAGCCACTGGTCTCTTCCTGTGAAGCTCTGCTGCAAGTACGTGCGATTTTTCCCCAGATGAGTATAAAAAACTTAAATCACGGATAGAAGCTCTTCCAGTAGAAACAGTGGAAACAGCTGCCGGATGGTCCCTCCGCTACATGAGCGAAGGAAAAGGCGGCATGGAACTTGCGATTGCCATGCTGGCTCTCAAGAGTCCAGAAGCAGGGCAGCTTAGCAAGGCTCTTCAACTATCTTTTGCGAGTGTCGAAGTCCTCGCCTTCCTCAACAGCTCACTCAGCGTTGCTCAAGTAATAGAATTCATCGAGCGAGCCACACCGGAGGACCTAGCCTATCTTCGAATATGTAAGAACCAATTACCATTGTCAATGCTGCTCAAAACGGTTCCTTAGGCATGGAAAACCCTTCACTATCTTGCATGCATGCGACTGGATGGATGGATGCTGCTGGAAAATGTTCAATGCTGCGGTTTCAGCACTTGGCGTTTTCAAGGCTTCTGCCCAAACTGAGCCTCGAAGCACTGCAATGAGTTTGTACACGAAGTATTCAGTAGTCCAAAGCATTGCCAATACTTTGGAAGCTCTTGAGCTCCTGCAGCTCCCGGTGAGTCAACCAAACCAGAGGCGAAGCAGGCCAACTCGGCAGGGCGTTTCTTAATGTTGGGACGTTTTACATGTTTAGATTTGCCCTTTCCCATAGCTGTGATTTTTCTGTGTGCTTACGTAGTTGGAGGGAAGGACAATGCTGGAGTTCTGTGATGGTCTTCTAAGAAACACACCTGAGGTGTTTTTCCGTGGTTCACTGGTTTCTCTGAACATGGACGACCAGGTTGTTCTATGCTATATACTGACTGAACTTGTCAACTTCCAGCAAAGTAAGGAAGATGAGATCAGCCCCAGTGATCTGGTCCAGAATGCCCGTGTTGATGGGAAACCTGTAAGGACGTTTCTGAAGGACCTCATTAACACCAGCATCAAAACAGAAGCCCGATTGATTATTGCCAATACTGTATCCGCGTTTCTTCGCGGCTTGCTGATTGCATTCTTGGGCCACGAGGTAGGCCACCTCTCAGCTGCCCAGTTTGCATCCGTCGATATGACTACTGGTGTCTTAACCTTCATTATAACTAATGTAATTGAGTTTTCCAGTGCCAACCCAGTTAGTCCTTTGAAACCAGCAGATGTCCTTAGGAAAGTTGCCCGCCTTGCTCTTGGGGCTGAAACTCCCACTGAAGAAGGAGCCCCCAAAATCGTCGCTGCAAGTGTCTCCTGTCAGTCAAGCCACTAGCAGCAAGCAACCCACAGTACATGATTAGTGCTGTGCAGTAGGCTCGATAAATGCGATTAGATTGAGATTGGGTAATGCTCCGTAAGACTTCATTACTATTGTGGTCACTTCATTATCCTGTTTTGTCTCAGATCCACCATGTCTCGGCGACTGGTACGCGATGGTTGATCCTATAAAGCTTGAAGAGCTCACAATGAATCCTGCGGCATTAACGGGAGAAGCTTTAGCCAATGCTAGCGCGTCAAACCGTTTTACCGATCTTGCGGACGTATTCTTCAGCTTGCGCCAATCGTCAACAATACGTCCACAAGCAATTGTTGCAAAGGCTCGTGATATTTTAATGACCAATGAGACCTTACCACTGCTGGACAGAGTTGGGCTCACCGCTTTTATATTCGGCCTTCTTAAGCTCGCCGAGCAAGCAAAGATAGACTGCCTACAGGAGGCAATGGATGATATTGCAGGTTATTTAGTCCTTACACTGCAGGAACAGTATCTATACAGAAATGACTGTTTCTTCAAAAAATTATCTGATGGAGCGGCAGCACCCGAAGCAGCAAGAAATATAACAAATGAGTTACTAAACGAAGCCTTCGATGCGATAGAAGCAGGTAAAGAAAAGCACTGGTGCATTGCGACCAAGTTCGTGGCTGGCTCTGGCATTGCATATGCAGCAGGACCTACGGACTGCTGAACGCACCTGGGGTGATGTATATGTCGTCTGCGCAGCAAATGCTGAAAAGGCGAAGGAGCTCTATACCTTCATTTTGACCAACCCTGAAGATCTGCCAAGAGCGTTTGACAGGGCCTTTGATTACCTTCTTCATACGCCGGTATTGGCGTTTGGAGTGCGGGTAGCTGAAGAAGTCATTTTGGCGATTGCCCAGCGCAGCAACTGGGACTCCCTCAACGACCGGCTACAGTTATTAAAGGAAGTACAGTGGTCTTTGCAGGATAGGTCGCCACTTCGCAAAAGGACGCTGAGCAAAGAAACCAGGCCCAAGTTTTTCAACGTATTCCAAATTGCTACTGACCTCTTGGCATTCATTAAAACTGGTGAGGTCACGTGAGTTAGTGCCCGGAAGCAGATAGGCAGCACCCACCCCCCCTACAGGAGATCATCCACAGTGCTGCTATGGATTGCGAGATTTACGCCTTTTCAGGACGCTTCGAGAGGCGACGGCTCCCCAAACCACTGCTCTTCAAGCGTATTGCCGCTACTGCCAAAATTATCGTACGGAGGCTCCGCCCAACTACCGAAGGGCAAGATAGGGCAATTCGAGTTGCAGCGGCCTACAAACTCCGCGAGGAGCTTGGTAGCCTGTTACCACCCCAAGAAGGCAACGGTGGCCCTCCCCAGACTGATGAAGCCAGCAATGATACCGAGCCCTTTATAGGCTGAATAATGGAGAGCGTTATGGCGTTCCCCTATTACCGCGTCTAGTTGTTGCCGCTGCATGCTAAGGCTTGTGCTAGCGTATAATTACCAATGTTAATTTGTTTAGTTCAGTGGATTTAACTTGAATCGAGTGAGAATGGCATATGAATAAATCGACGAAATTTTTTGCGGGTTTTCGGCAGTAATATGTATGGATTGCGCCTGCTGCTAGAGCAAATTACAGTGTAGACTCTCGCAGCGAATTGGAAAAAATAGTTTTGAAGTCATCGCGGCAGCCAGTCGCCCTGCCTCTATTCTGGTTTGGATGGGCGCCTTGTAACAAGCCGTCCGACAGGAACACCTCTTTTTATAACGACCGTCTGCATTCCGTGCATACAAAGTTAACAGAGCAGTCACTACCGACCCCGGAAGAAAACTCGGGAGCAAACCGCCATCAGAGGGTTAGCCTTCGCATAGCTGCAGTTCACCAGTACGCCAGAAGTGACATGGCAGGCCCCATCAAATTGGTCTATATGCGTTGCCTTCCTGGGCTGGCCAGAAGTGCATGTGCACGTAACGGTGAGGATGAAGCTAACGTGCGAAGACACAGTGAGTAAATCGCTGCGGCATAAGAAATACAAATGACTACGAACTCCAAATAGTTTCTCCATGTGCAGAACTTTGCCGGCAGCCCTGTGTTTCGGGTATAGGGTAATCAAAGCTTTACCACTAGAGCCTACCCATTCGCTGTCTGCCGTAAACTCGAGCTGTGATGCTTTCCAAAGCGACCCACGCCGGCTGGAAATGAGAAAAGTCAGGGCCTCCAGAGCAGTATAGCGTCTAGCTAGATTGCAAGCATTCAGCAAGGAAAGCGCCACCAAGGCCGGGTTAAGAGCCCACAGGCGCAAGAATTGACGGCAACCAGACAATATGCTGCATAGCTAATAGGTGGCTGTTGGCGCAAAGATAGAGGAAACATGGCACCTTAAATGGGGCGGCACAAAATACACTACAGTATTTCGTGCCACCCCTTTTCTACTTCCCTCGTCTTTGCAGCCATCCGAACCAGCACTACTTCCAAACCTTGATGCTTAAATGCAGGTGAGGAACACCTGATCCCCACGCCACGCCTACCTCAGCCTCAGCCTGAAGATGTAACACTACTCAACAGAACGTTCAGGCCTGCAGATTAAGCTGCATCAGGCCTGATGATTACGCTGCAGGCCTGATTACGCAGCTTGCGTCCGGAGGAGGAAGTGGTACCTTCGTGTGCAGGATGACAATGTTAGGCACGCGCCTAGGCGCGCACCGTAAACCCTAAAACCTGCCGCTCGGCTGATTTCGCAATGCCACTTCATCCAAGAACCCCTTAAAGATGTTGAAACCCTAAGCTTCACAAACCATTCTAAAGCAGAATGACCTCACATTCTGGGCAACACTCGCATTTTGCCCCCTCCAGTGAGCTGCGAAGCTAGCCACCCACCGCCGCATCCACCATACCACCTCCAGCAAACGACCGTTTGAACCCCCGTGCACAAGCTCTTGTACCCCAAGAAACGTATACCTGACCGGCTAACGCGTAAGTTATGAATCTACCGCCAGTGCACGCCATCCCCTCACTCTTCACACCCAAGTGCGGCGGCAGACCGAACCGTTTGCTGGCGAGAAGCATTTCTAGCCGGTGGAACCTCAGCAACGCACTCGAAAGCATTATACGGAAGTGCATAACTGCGTCACTCACTCATGCTACGCCGGTAGAAGGCCGCACTTGCCAACCTTCGCACGAATCGCACACACGGGATGTTCTGCCCATTTCGAGGAAGCAAGGGCATAGCACCGTCCCCAAGGCCTATCTTTCACCTAATTTTCGTAAACGGCTCCTTTGGACTGCCCATTTAAAACACCCTTTAACGATTTGTTGCCGTGGGTGTGGGTCGGGCACGCTGCCTTCTTAAGGCCTCAGCGAGCAGTGGAAGCTACCAAGAGGATGGTACGTACGGCAGAGACACGCTCTTGCATCCTTATAGGAAGAAAAGTTGAGCTATTTAGAAATAGAGTAACGCTGTTATGAATGGGAGGGGCACGGTGCGTGAGCAGCAGCCGCAAGAAGGCGGTAGCCGTGGAGGCGGCTGTATGTGTCCTTCAGCAGCAGCCGCAGGAGTAACAACTGGAAGCAGCCAGAGCTGACACCTGCTGTGCGCTACGGCAAGCAGAGTTTCGGTTCAAAACTACTCTTTGTCTGTTATTTGGCTCTTGCTGTCTGCTGAACGCTTCCTCTGGCCTTCGCCTCTCGTGGGGCGCTCCTCACCACCGACTTCACCACTGGGGCATTATTCCGCTTATTAACAACAGGCCGAAGCAGAAGCTTGGTGGCGAAGCCAGCGGAAGCAACACAAACCCCTCGACCCCTGCACAACATCACCGGGCGTTCGCCCCCCACTCAACCAGGCTGCTACACCGTACACCGCCCACACTCCTCCCAGCTTGCATGCTGAAGTTTTCCGGCCATTAGGAGCAGTAGAGTCCCGTCGCCTCTGCAGCGGCTCTGTCCTCAGCTCCAGGCTACAGCGAACCCGCCACAGGTGCGCCTCCACCGCTTCTGCTTCTAGAGCATCCTTGATACGCCCTTGCTGCTCTTAGCCTGGAATTCCATTGCTCGCTCTAGCTGCATTTGTAGGCCACCCCCGCCTTGACGTAAACAGGTGGGCCGCGTCTGCAACGATAGCCGCGGAGTTCGCAGCTAGTTAGTGCATGGACGAGCCTCAACGCTGCGTTCGCGTGGAGGCAAACTCGAATGCTTTCCGGAGCTGTAGAGAACACTCAGAGTCATCCTGCGTAGGAGCAGCGCTGCCTCGCAGGGCGTGAATCTTCCCGCGAGGCAACGGACTAAGTCGGGGCCATATGCAGACCAACGGAGGGCCGGCGGCCAGCGATGATCGCAGCAGCAGGTCCTCTGGCCTGGCATGGTTGAGCTGCCCAATGCCGCCGAGGCGCAGAAGCAGCCTAAAGCGATAGCAGCACGTGCTGCAGCACCAACAGCGGGAGCCGCCATATCTGCGTCTTTTCGCTGCAGCAGCAGTAGCAGCTAGGGCTCCGGCAGCAACTCAGCAGTCGCTGGAGCTGCCGCAGGAGCAACGGAGACATCGCATGCACCATACATTTGACATACCCACGGCATCCGATGGGCCCGCTGACGGTTCATATTGCACTGTCGTCGTCTCAAAGGAACTCTTGAACTGCCCGGGTTGACTCAGCGCAAGTGGAACGACTGGAAGAGGCCGCTTGCTGCACCCCCACCATAGAGGATGCCTGCTGTTGAAGGGCCGGCTGCCGCTGGCGGGGCAGGGGGAGGAGGCGGGGTTATGATGCTGCCTTCGCACCCGTTGTATTATTTCTCCACGCACAACGCCTTGCGGGGGGCAGATGGAGACGACTTGCATTTCCGCGTTTGCTTCGAAGAGCTCCATGGCTCGCGCTCGTGCGAGCTGGACGTTTACCCCTTCTACGACGTTCAGATGGTCAAAAGGCTGCTCATCAAAAAGCTCAGGCTTCCCGCCTCTATGCAGGTATTGTGCGTATATGGATGGCTGTATCTGTATGTGCATACTGCTTCTCCAGTCTGTACAAGCTCTCCACTCAAATGCGCAGGATGCGAATTTCCGGCTTGACCGTTGTTCAAGCACCAGTCGCGTATTGCCTCACCATATAGCCAGCTCTTATATTTTGCTGAGCTTGGCGTGGAGTTGTCAGTGAATCGCAGACGGCTGAAAGGGGGGGCCAATTGTACAACAGCCTCGGTGCATGCTGTGTTCGTGGCTGTCGCGCTTGCCATTGTGTGGCAGTGGAGGAGGCTGCAACCTGTGCTGCGTGCGTGCTGGGGCAAACGTAGATGTGCAGGAATATTCATAAGCATGTCTACAGGTAGTATGTTGTGAGCATCCACACAGCAAATATACGGGTGCAACCCCATATTGAACTCAGCTCTTGTTTTGGGTAGCGTTGGGCGTTCCTGTGCGTTCAGGTAAAAGACGTACGTTTGATCTTCAGGGGGTGCGAACTTCCCAACTGGCGACCCATGACGGTTTTCTTCGAAAATCCGGTCAAACGGCTGCTGTGGGCCGTAAGAGGGGGCAGCGCACAGGCCTCCATCAGGCCTTTTGCGCGCAGTCAGACCTTCCGCAGCAAAGAGCTCCTCAGGATTCTGGAGGAAGTGAGTCGCCTCCTGGGGCTGCTGCCGCTGTAACACAAGCGCACAGATATTGCTTCCCCCTCTGCCACTGCTCGCGCGGTTTGCCAGTTCAGTGTTTCCTTTCGAGGGTCCTCTGCACCGTACGCAGTGACTTGGCTGTACCCATCACTGCGTGCTCGTTGTCGAGCAGTGTGCTGGCCTTTTTGCCTTTCCCCGTGCGTGCAGGTTCGCCTTGGCTTTCGCAGGAACGTCGCGCCAAAACTGACTATGGATGGCACGGGTGGCACTTACATTTTGTTTGACGGCCGTCGGCGGCCGGTGGCTGTGTTCAAGCCGGAGGTGAGGCGAGGCCCGAGAGCAGCCTCATGTAGCAGAAACTACGGTAGCTTCGACGTTCTAAACATGCGTTTCCATACTCTACAATATTTTGAGCATTTTCGGTTATGCTAATGCAGTACGTAGTTTTTGTGTACATTACTTAGATGTTCTCTGCGGCGGCATTACGACGATTGGCAGTCAATTATGTAATAGACCAGGAGGCTGTATTTTTGGCAGCGCACAAGGTTTGACGCCAGGCTGGTTGCGGTGGCGTTTGCGGGCTTAGGACGAAGAGGCCTTTGCCCCCTGTAATCCTCGGGGTTACGAGGGGCGTCTGGGTCAGCAAGGACTGCGGGGAGGAGTGCTGAGTGGAGAGGGGGCAGGACGTGAATTCGCAGCTTACCTTCTGGACGCGAGTTATGGCGGGTTTGCTGGCGTTCCGGCAACTATGATGGTGGAGGCGTGCCATCCGGCATTCTGCAGCAGAGGCCAAATAGAGGTGGGCTTTAGCTATGGCATCCCACGCCTGTCCCGCGTTTGTTCTGTTTCTGTGTGTGTACCGTAATGATTGCGGATGCGTGACTCCATTAAAGTCATGCGTAACAACGCGTCCACTAAAGTGATTTGTGCATTATCTGCATTTTATTCTATCTGTGTTGGGTGTGTTGGGGTGGGTTCAGGTTGATGGGGACGTGATGATGAGCACATACGTCCGCAGCGAGTCGTCGCCCAGCGTTTCTTGGAAAGTTGGCAGCTTTCAGGCTTTTGTGGAGGCCAAGGTGAGTCTTTTTGTGGTGTGTGTTTTTTTTTGGCGTCTACGAACGGCATCTGCCTATTGTGCACAGATACAAGTTTCAACTTGGTGCTGTTGTCCACTGACAGGAGTGTGTCGGAAACTTTGACGCTCGGCTCTTCTCTGTTGGGGATGTGCATCGGATTGCGATATTTGACTTGCGTGTCATGAATTTGGACCGAAACGACAGTAACATTCTGGTGGCTCCTGTGGTGGGCTATCAGAAGGAGCCGTCTGCTGGCGGCAGTTCTCGCAGCCTGCGTGCCTCAGGTGGGGTTGTGAAGCAGATCGAGAGTAAATTGTTGCGCAGCGTTTCTGCTGTGGGCTCATGCGGAACACAACTGTGCGTCGCTGATAAGGCAGCAGTGGCAGGCGCGGAAACTGCAGCCTCCGCAGCGTCTGGGGTATTGACTCCTGATGGAAAGCCAACGAAGTGAGTGTGTAGGTCTTTCCTGCGGACCATCCGCATCCCGGCGTAATTCGTAGCCATACAGCACACTTAGAGCTATTTACCGTGAGATGTTGCTTCAGGTGGTCCAACCGCAGGTTTCGCCTTATTCCCATTGACCACGGGATGATCTTGACGGACGTTCTCGATGTAGCGACCCTAGACCTTGTTTGGTTCGACTGGCCCCAGAGCAAGGTGAGGAGCTAGACGTTATCGCATCGTTTTGCTGGCTCTCATTTTGGGTTTAGGAGTAGCTATTGGCGTCTACGGACCCTGAGCGTGCGCCCCCAGGGGAATGTTCGCCTACGCTGCAATAGTTTTGGTTGGGTGGTCCAAAGCCTTGTCAGCTGTCATGCATCTCCTTGCAGTGGATAAAGACGACTGTGTGCTGCGCTTGTGGCGCTGCGTGCGGTGCTTTTCAAAGGAGCCATACAGTGAAAGCGAACTGCGTCTGATATACTCATTCGACGTGGATAAGGACTTGGAGCGTTTGTCTCGTCGGGTTGCTTTGAGGGACAATTGCCTAAGAACCCTTCGGCTCGCTACGAAGCTGCTGCAGATCTGCGCTCGCCACCACTTGACAGTTCGTGAGACGGCAACGATTGCAGTGCGCGACGACTTCGACATACCTTCCCCTTTGGAGCACCTGGTGAGCTTTTCTTCGCATTAGAAAAGTCTCTACAGCCGCTGCCTTTGTTGCCGCCGCTGAGTGCGTACCGCGGCAACTCATCGTTCGGGACCATCTATCAGTTTGTTCCTCGTGGGCGCTACCAGTTAACGGCGTTTTGCGTCGTCAGTGTAGCACCTGTTGCACGGGAATGCACAAGGAGCGGGAGGGGTTTCTTCTGTGCGAACGTATTTGGGGCCCCGCAGATCCGACGAAGCCTTGAGATTTCTTACCTTGCCTTGGACTCCACGTCGTTGATGAGCACTAACAGGCTAGGTTTCGGGATAATGGATCTTGCCGAGCTGCAGGGAGACCCTGGGAAGCAGCAGGGGCTGCGACGCACTTCTTTCGAGGCGAAGCTGAAGAAAGCTTTTAGAAAGAAGAAGAGAGGTGGAGACGAGGGACCGGTGGAGGAGACGGCCGTTGACGCAAATGGAATTTGCAGCCGCTGCGGTGGTTTTGTTGCCGTTTCTGGAGCAGCCGCAGTATCTACTGCCGTGATCACCTCAGTCAGTTGCAGAGTTCCATCGACACTTGACCCGGACGGGGAAGTAGACAGTGAAGAGTTCGAGGAGAGACCACTGCTCAGGTCCTGCACGACTATCGAAGCGTGGAGCGACGCGCGTTCCCCAGTAGGAGCACATGCAGAGGTGGACGTGAGCGAACCAAGAGCATCCCGGAACACGGCGGCTGCAGCTCTAGACCGGGCAACAGTTCAACCAGCTGGCAGTAGGCTCCATTCAGTTGAAAATGTTCGGGGACGGCTCCCTTCTGGGTCTGCTGAAGATGAACGACAGACTGCGGGCGGCACCGCCCCATGCCGGTGCGGGGACAGAATTGAGCGCCGCAGCAGCAGCAGCTTGGGCGATTCGGCGGACAGCGACAGCGACCTAACCAGCAACAGTCTGAGCACGAGCAGCAACGATGGGACACAGAGCAGCTGGACGAGCAGCCACAGTGACGACGATAGCAGCAAGGCGGCTTCGGAAGTGGGGGCGCGGTTGGCTCCCCCCACCTTCGGCAGTTTCCAAGCACCGGGGGCGGCTGGAGGGCCCCTTAGGCATCTTCCAAGCGCTGCTCTGTTCCGATACCCTTCGGGGGAACCCCGCTTTTCAGGACGCCAGAAACGTCGAACCTCCCGTAGCCGACGACGCAAGGCACCAACGGAGACAGAGACAAAGACAGATGATGCAGCTCCTGCTGTCCCCTCGCCGCCTCGCAATGAACCAGCTGTATTCGGCAACAGACACACTAAGGGCACCGTCAGGCGGTAGGTTGGTGCTCCATTGTCTTTTTATAGAATGGCTGCTGTAGAGAGTATGTCAGTTTTATTGGGCGGACATTTTGTCAGCTGCGTAATTTGTGCGCTACCTCTTCTTGGGGTACATCGCAAGCTTGAAGGTGTTGTACCTCTGGCGCTTCCTTTGCCACTGTTTGCAATCTCGATTGAATTTGTGCATGTGAACGTATTTATTCATATGTTCATACGCATGGGCATACGTCGCTTCACTACGGTCTGTCTGCAGGTTAAACGGAACAGCACGAGGCACTGGATGTCGGCCGAAGAAACAGCCCTCCGCGACACAAAGCACATGGAGTCTGACGGATTCGAGCGGTCGCGTAATTCTGCTCGATTGGCGCGATGGCCGCCTTGAGAAGTGAGGCCTGCTGCACAGCACACAGTGCATATATGAAATCGTATGCATATGAACATAGTAACTGCACAGGTTTTGCACCCCATGTGAAGATATGCTAAGCAAACATCGCTTAGCCCTTTGCGCACCTATGGAGAGTGGAGAGCAGACACGCGTACAGGTGTCTCCGCTCCATTGGGTACTACACAGCAGATGTGCTGCAAGGCTCTTGCGGCCGTTTCTTCCAAGTTTTAGCTATAGTCTGTCAATTTATTGGCGTGCGTGCTCTTTGGAAGCGTCAACTTGAAAGTTAGAGAAGTGGAACGCATGCTGTGTTTTATGGAGGGTGCCCTATGTGTTCTGTTTTCTTGTTTTAGGCTTTTTTTCGAAGTTTACGAATCTCTGCTAAGACAACATATCCTGCACAACCATCCTCAGTGGTTTACGTACCCGTACAACGGAGAGGCGATTGAGCGTAGCGAACGTCGACAGCAGTCGTTCCGTCGGGAGGAAAGCGGATCCCTTGTCACACCCCTTGTCGCTACGCCTACAGTGCATGTGAATTCGCAGCAAATCCATGCAACGAACACCCATCGCAGGCTTAGCTCTGAGGCAAGTGATGATGCCAGTGCCAGCGCTGCAGACCGCCATTTGACCCACAAACATCTCAGATCTGTGCAACAGCCACAGCCACAGTCACCAGCGCAACTTGAGGACAGGGCGCCTGCAGCATCTCGTCAGACGCGCTTCAACATTTCATCAGATGCCTGAGCACAATCCTTGGTCGGGTGTCAGCGAGACGGAGAGTATTGATTCTTCTCACCCTCATTGTAAGGGGAGTCCAACTTCCTCTTCGTGGGCTCGGTTGCGTGCCAGCGAGTTGCTGCGAATGCCAGAGCACAGCAAAAGGCGCCCATGGTGGAGCTCCGAACAATCGACGATTTTGCAGCGAACGCCGCCTTTTCGCTCGTGCTGTCGACCGTGTTTGGTTATACCGCGCACACGCAGGTGTGCCGTTTCTTTTGCTTGTTACGTCTTGGAGGTAGAACAGATTGGAGAGCAGATGGTAGCGTAGATGGGACAGTAACTTTTCACGGTTATATTTCAGTCACTTTGCGTGTCGCAGCGAGTCGACGACGGCAGTTGCGCAGAGCAAAGCTGACTGCGTCGTCTCCATGCGCTATCTCGTTTGTTGCTCCCAAGAGTCAGGGAACACGGCAGGCGATCCGTAAAACTGCCTGGCGGCCTGCATATAGGCCCCTCCCCCTGTTTTGATTCATACACGCGTTGCGGCGCAGTGGCAAGGAGGGGAAAATACATTCTCCTTCTGTGACGGCGGCGTATGGGTCGTATGCATACAATAGCAGGGAGCTACGCAGCTGGCGCTCGCCAGCAGGGCAAACGGTTTTTTGGAACTCGTACACTGGCTGCTTTTCCTGCCAGCTGCTTGAAGTATACTTTGTTTGTAATTTGCATATATATACTTGGAGCTATATGCACGCATATCTTTTGTTCTATATGCTGGACTGTGCATGGAACTAAGTGCATCACATATGGAACCAAGCATTCATGCGTTTCCACGATCGAGTTGGCTGTTCTGTTTGGCGGGCTCTCTGCCACTTCGGCACCTGCCAGTCAAAGCTGAGGAAAAGCCCTTTAATGCAGGCTTGAGCTAAGGTTGCCGCGCAACATAGCGAAATGCTAACTGCATGTAGGCCTTGCTTCGACTGCGTAGAGACGGGCAAGGGGCTCTGCTTTTACAGTTTCGTGCACATCTGTGATCTGCATTGTAGTCGAGCGTTTGCACCAACAACGAAGTAGCTACACTGCCAACCAGCGCATGTCCCGGTTAGACTCCTTAACAGGCTTCCATCGATGCCGTGGGAACAAATGAAAACTCCCTCCTGTAAGGCTCGCGAAAAAGTTACTCCTGCGGTGAACGCGGTCGCTGCAAGAGAAGATCAACGCCTGGGACTTGCAGGCTAGCTGGTGTCGATTCAGCATTGCTTTCTGTATAGTGGGATTAAGTGCCGAAGAGCACAAAATAAACCGCATTCTGCACAAGACACACTTGCGCAGAATATACTCACGCAGTGACCCCCGTACTCCCGGACGTCGGACCATCTTCCTTCATGAATTCGTGTCCAGTTTAGGCGAAGAGTGTAGGCATATTTATTAAAATCGATAACTATGGACGTGAACGAGTCTTTCTTGCCTCTGCTGAAACACCAGTTGGTGGTAGCACGGGGAAGAGCAACCCCACCGATTCTGCAAGGTGGCTGGTGTTCCTTGTGGTTTCTACAGGCCTTCCCATGGCCAGATCATGGTTTAAGCCGACGAGAATTATGGAATTATTGACAACCACATATTAACGAACATGTTCTAGACACTGCCTCTCCTACGCTGCGATATTGTCCCCTTAACACCTGAGCGAGTGACAACACGGTTCATCTTTACTTGTACATCTTTGGTGTGAAAATGGATGCGTCACCGACTGATCTGGCAAGTATTTCTCATAAAAACGTTATTTGTAGATAACTTGGCACCAATCTCACCGCTGGGAGCCTTCTCTCTCGCCGCCTTCCCGCCCGTCCTACAGCCGCGGCGCTGCACTGTAGCAATACATTTACGACTTCGGGATTGCCTTATTAGAACAGGAGTTGTCACCATGCGTAGGTGCTTGGATAGACTCGAGCGAACGGCTTCAGCGCGCCTGTGCAGGTATGGCTGCATAGGGCCAACTCTGAAAGGAAGGAAGTGCAGGCGTAAGCGGTTGTTGTGGGTGTATGCAGCCTCTTAAGGAAGCAGACCCTGAGCTGTATGCTCTCATAGCGAAGGAGAAGGAGCGGCAAGTTGAATGCATTGAACTGATTGCTTCTGAAGTGCGTTACCGCGGCCTCCTGTACGGAAACCAGACAAATGTTCGATGAACCCCTGCTCGATTCTCGGGGCCTCACGAACTGAGCAGCAGCCATTCTGCCTTTGCTTCGCATTCTTGCGGCTTGCAGAACTTCGTGAGCACAGCGGTGCAAGACTGTCTCGGGAGCTGTCTCACGAACAAGTACTCTGAGGGTCTCGTGGGTGCTCGTTACTATGGGGGCATGGAGTTTGTAGATCAAGTGGAAACCCTATGCATTCAACGCGCTAAGGAAGCATTTCGTCTTGACCCAGATGAATGGCACGTAAATGTACAGCCCCTGTCTGGGAGCCCGGCCAACTTCGCTGTTCTCATGGCCCTCCTGCAGCCCCATGACCGATTCATGGGCCTTGGTCTCAATGACGGTAATGCTAGTGCATGCATGCATGCGCATGCATGGGTGCATTGTGTATGCGCGCATGCAGCAGAACAACTTTTCCTCTTCTGTCAAGAAGGCCGGGTTTACGCGTTGCTTAGCAGCCTCCAGCACGCTGTGGTTGCGCACCTGATGTTGCGGAGCGGTGCATTGCTGCATCTGCTGCATTTGTGCAATGCGCACAGGGGGTCATCTGACGCATGGGGCGTACACCCCGTCTCGGCGTATCAGCGCGAGTTCTCTGTTCTTTGAGCCGCTTCCCTACGGGTTGGACCCCAAGACGGGCCTAATAGACTACGAAGAGCTAGAGAGGCTCGCAACCCTCTTCCGCCCGAAACTCATCATCTGTGGACACTCTGCCTACCCTCGGTGGGTCGAACCAGACAATGAATTCCATTGGAACGCCTGCATACTGTTTGCACCTTTCTTTTTCGGGTTTCACGCTGCATATGGCAAAGGAGCCCGCAGGGGCATGAGGGAGTGGAGTCGTTCGGCGCAACGTGATACTGAGGAGCGCGCCTTCGTATGCAGTCTGCTGCCTGCTTTCTCTTTTGGCGCGTTTTCTGCACGCTGCACATAATCTCGCTTTGGGCCTCGTGTGCCTGTCTCTCTGCTCGCAGCCTTTTGGATTATAAACGTTTCCGGGCAATCGCCGATAAAGTTGGGGCCTTCCTCTGGTGTGACATGGCGCACTTCAGCGGTTTTGTCGCTGCAGGCATTTTTGAGTCGCCGTTTGACTACTGCGAAGTTGTCACCACAACGACGCACAAAACCCTCAGGTGAATAGCACATTCCCAACAAGTGGACCGGTTTAACACGCTTCTGTTCTTCTGATTATAGCATTTGTGCAGATTATTAAACAGGAGTTCTCCCGTAGGCATACATGCATTCAAGTGCATGTTTGTCTTGAGAACGTGCGTGCGAAGTTTGGTTTCTTTCGTTGCTGCACTTCTTTTGCGCGCGCTAGTCAGTATTTATGATCCACGATGCCTTCACTATGCGCTTGCAGATGTGCTGATGTTAATGCCATATGGTTGTGCCTGGCGAGGCAGTTGATTATCCATGCGTGTATTTGGATCTTGCTTGCATGCTCACGCTGTCTGCAGGGGGCCCCGCAGTGGCCTCATCTTCATCAACACCAAACGAGTGCCCAATGGAGCATCGAAAGTCGATGCAGCTGTCTTTCCGGGTCTGCAAGGGGGGCCCCACGAGAACCACATAGCCGCTGTTGCTCACCAACTCAAACAGGCAAGTGTAGCCAGCACCAGCCAAAAGGTATAGCTATGCAAGTGTTTCCGGACTCGGGTTCATACCATGGACTATGGCGGCTGCGCCCTTTTGCCCGTAGACTGCTGCTGAACAACGGTATTGGCGTCTGACACTTCGCAGGCGCATGGATGCTCTGAGCTGATGGTTGGTGGTGCAACAAGGGTTGCTAAGGGAGGAAGTGGTTAGTTCATTGCGTTGTTGGCTAGGGGGGTTCGGTTTTGGGTTGCCCTGCAGACGTGCACGCCGGAGTGGAAAATCTATTCACAGCACGTATTGGAGAATTGCAAGTTGCTGGCGGCTGAGTTGCAGAGTCACGGCCTGCAGCTCGTCACCGGCGGGACGGACAATCACCTGCTGCTTCTTGACTTGAAGCCCCATGGGTTGACAGGTGCGTTGTGAAGCGAACTGCAGGATGGGTGTCGGCGGAAACCATCTTGTGACCGCGTGCCGCTGGTTGTCACTGAAGAGGCATCACTTGAATTCAGTCGTCCTGCATGACCTTCGAAAGCACATGCCGGTTGCCATCACCTTGAGCCCCATTTTTGCAGGCCGTTCGTTGGTACCCAGGCAAGCAAAGGGCTTGAAAGTGCTTTCAAGCGGATAGTGTGCATGAGAGTGTGCATAGGTGGGAAGCTTCAGTTGGTTTGCGACTTTGTGAACATCACGCTGAACAAGAACTCCATCTCGGGCGACTCTCCAGGCATTCCCACGGGTTAGAAAGAAACGGGAAGCAAGAGGCCCTTTGCATTTGCGTGCAGCAGGGTTTGGTCTCGGTCTAATGGTGTAAGAGCAAGGAGGTGTGTGCCGGCCGCGGCTGTGTCTGTATTGGCAGGCGTACGCATCGGGACCCCCGCCATGACGACTCGAGGGTTCGGCTCGAAGGAGTTTAGACAAGTCGCCAGTTTCATCAAGGAGGCCATTGACATCTGCTGCGAAATACAAGGTCCGACAGCCCCACAGACATGCATGCGCACGCGTACACGCACAACGCATCCCTTGCATGCGGCTGCAAACGCTTCGGATGCATGCCATGCAGCGACATTTTACACGTGCGTGTTTTCAGCATAAAATAAACTGCAGACAACCTACAGCGTAGGTGCTAAGGGTTCTCTTTTTACAGCCATGTGACGACAGAAGACGCAAATACCTATACGTCTGTCTGTTGTGTGTATATGCTGTTATTCTGTGCTGTGACCCCTGTTCTGCTGCAGGGCAGTCGGGTAAGAAGCTGGCGGACTTCAGAAAACACGTCACTCTGTCGCACCCCCGCATAGCCGATTTGCGCGAGCGGGTGCGAGCGCTCGCCCGCAGTTTCCCGATGCCTGGCCGACGCGACGTATGAGCAGTTTTAATTGAGTTCATCGGCACGAAGAAGGGAGCAGAGCGGCAAATTTGCAAGCATCTGTCTTATAAGGAAGTGTTTGGGTGATAAGCGTTGCTGCCTTGATACGAAGAAAACGCGCATCGGAAGTATCGCCTTGTTACGATGCACCCAGTTTTCGTTTGAATTTTCTCACGTAATTGTTTTGCAATCGTGTTTGGAGGGGTGAGTGCTTTTTCCGACCGATGCGAAAGTTCCCATGAGATCTACTAGGTATTGGCAGTTGTGCTGCTAGAGGAAAACTCCGTTCTGTTGCTGAACGTGCAGGGCGAAACATAGCTTGTCCTGCAGGCGAGGCGGGCTCAGCAGGGTTTGTGCAAACAGGGCTTGCACGCACTTAATGCACGCTAGAACCTCGTATGCACACGGGTCTCTGGGATCCGTACGCCTTTTGCTGGGGTTTGTACGGGAGTAGTAGTGCGTTTGTTTCTTTTAATCACGCACTGAACGGATACGCAGTTGCACGCAAGCAATGAGTTCCTTGCAGGCTGCAACGTGCGCCCATTTACAGTTCATAAAACCTTTGAATGCCGTTTTTTCAGGAGCCAGTGTGAAGAGATTAGTTCGGATTTAGCCGTTGTCAAACGTTGGACAAATTCTGAACGGCTCAGTCTCTTGAGCCCTGTCTTTTGCCACTGCACACATCAGTGCTGGAGAAGTGCTAATTAAGGATTATAGTTTGTTGAGGCTTGAGCGACGACCACATTGTGGACGATGATTGCACTCACATACCGCAATAGTGATGCGTTTTTTGCGTTTCCAACATGGAAAAAGCCTTGCTTATCCTTTTGCCCACCTCAGAATCAATCGTTTGGCTGGTTAAGACTGAACTCGCCCGCGGTGCAACACTGCAACACGGCCTAGATCCCTGGGGTCCTTCCAGATGCTTCTCATTCACCTGTTTATTTTGGAGGTTCTAATCTTCTTCACCGTGGAAGGGGGTGAAACCAACTCAAGCTTGCATAGATGGAATGCAGGAGTCTTGAGGCTTCAGATGCCCGCAGCGGTTTTCGCCACCTCTCCATCCAGGCATTGCCTCTAGCTTCACACGAGCTGTACTGGGATAAAATGTATCTACAGGAAGTATTAAATTTGCAGCGTATTGCAAAGCTGGTTGCGCTTCGAGGGCAAACGAAGCCAGCCCACTGGACCTCGCACTAGAGAAACCGCGGTGAAATGTTTTTTCCTTGCGTAATTCATTCCATTACTTAGCAAATAATTGTTTCAGCCTTAAAAGGTCACCAAACTGCAGTCACCTTGTCACAACAGCGCGTAGGTGTGGGACGGGGACTTCCTAGCAACTCCGTGGGTCAGCGCGATGGAGGATACGGTGTGACGCTGCCACACTGCGTTCAGCGAAACCCTTTGATTTAAATGAATTAGAATTGTTTCTTTATTAGTTGTTTGCAATAAAGATATTCACTTTGTCGGTTGTTTGCTTTGCGAAGGCGAGCGTTGAAGATCGTCGATGGTCGCGGCTGGCGCAAGGGGCTCTTGCACTGCCGCGGATGCTGCACTGCTCTCTGCGTCCCTACGGAGGCAAAAATTTCGCTTTTCTTTTGTTTTTTGTTATTTCAATAGCTGGGGAAGGCTTGAGGCAAACAGGGAACTCGTTCTCGAGGGAAGGCGAGCTGCAGCACCTGCAGCCCGCCACGTTGAACTGGCCACGGTTTGCTTCACTCCTCCTGAGGCAGAAGCTCGACAGCTTCATCAACCAAACAGCATTACAGCTTTCTACGGCCTAATGCTGTGTTCATAGGTTGCCCTCTGAAAACAGCCGGATTGTCCACCTGTGTAGTTCGCAGTCTGGCGTGCGGCAACTGGTAGGGGCATTTGCAGACAGGAACAGTGCTGACCTTCCTTGGCTTTTGAGGCCGATTTACCTGCATCCACAGTGAATTCTGGAAGGGCTTCAAAGCTGAAACCTCATAACTTTCTTTGATACAAAATGTGCAGTTTCCTGGGGGCCTTCTGCGGCAACGCCAGCAAAGCGTGCCACTGCTGCTCTCTGCGCACATTTGCCTTCACCTGGCTAGGCATCAGTGAGCAATGTTTACACATATTTGCTGCTTTGCCTCCCCTGTGTAAACATTTTCTTCATTGACCAGGGCCTCCTCACAGGCGTGCATGCATGCGCCTACGTGAGCTCTGAAGGCTGTTTTCCGCGTGTTCCAAGCAGAGGAAGAGACCGATATTTGTGTGTTGTTCTGACGCGTTAGGCATCGTTGTTGCTCTGGTTCAGTTCGTTGCGGGGGCTTACCTGTCGTCTTATCTGGCCCCGGTCGATGCAGCGCTAAGGAATATCAGAGACCGAATCATGGAGCTCGATGACCCAACAATAGCACTAAAGTACTACGGCGTCATAGCCGACAGCCTGGCTGCTGTTTGGAGGGGAATGAGCTTGCTGACAACAGCACGTGGTAGGTGTCGTGGGTATTGCTGTTTCTCATCCAGTCCATTTTCTTTGGAAGGACCCAATTGGATTCATGCGTTTGTGGAGTGGAATCCTTCTTGTTTCCTGTCTTCTTTCTTTCATTGTGTTCCTCGCTGCATTTTGCATGCGTTTTCAGGGGTGTTCGACACGGTCGCTGTCGTCCTATGGGTCTATGGTTGGCACAAACAAAAGATAACGCTGCTCTACGTGTTTATTGGTATGATGGCTTTTGATTTCGCCATTGACTTTTGCCTCTTCTTCGTCTTCATGGCCGTTATTAATGCCCTCTACATCGCCTACTTCTTCCCCGTAAGCTGCAGCGCTGCTCTGTGTGCAAAACCGCAGACCCCAAATCCTTCTCCCTAGACCCTGGTGCAACTTTTGTCCAGATAATGCGTTAGAGGGATGCTGTAGTCTTGTTAGGCTGGCCTCGGTGCACTTGAGTGATAAGAGCCCATAGACTGGACGGATTTCTTGCATTTCCTCCCCGTCGTTGTCTGCTTTTTGCCTCTGTTTGCATTTCTGTTTTCACTTGTTCTGCTGCCCGCAGAGCTCTCTGTTGTTGCCCTTCGTCTTCTACGGCTGGCAAATGCTCGTGGGGTAAGTTGGAGCTAAACCCCATGGGCAGTGGAGTTTCCCTTATCTAGATGTTCATCGTATGCTAGCAGGCTCTCTCAACGAGTAGCGGCTTGCGAGCTGATGAGACAGCTGGCTAGGTAGTTAGCTAGCTAGCTGGCTATGTCAGGTAGCCAAGTGCTACTACGCAGGTAGACAGACTAGCTAGGTAGCTTTCTGGCTGGCAGATGACAGGGGATACCATAGACGCATTACTGTGTTTGCGTGTTTATCTGTTCCCTTGGCTGCTTTTCGTTTGATAGGCCATATGTTCTCCATTTGCTGCTAAGTCATGCCTACGGTGAGCCCTTGTGTCCGCAGTTGTCCTGCCCCCCTACGGCGGCACTCTTCTTATGGTTCTTATTGCAACTACTAATGTCACCGCTACTGTTACTAGGATTAATATCACTGGTATTAGTCATGCTATTACGATGATTATTGCTAGTGCTGTTGGTGCTGCTGTTACTCCTGCCGTTGTTGTTTTTGTTGCTGGCCGCATTACTCTTACTATTACTGTTATTGAAACTACTACTGTTTTTACACCTAGTGGTGCCTGCTACCGTTACCACTGCTTACCACTGCTGTTGATTGGACTGCGTATTCTATTGCTGTAATCATTGCTGTTCTTGTCACTATTACTGCTGCTATTTACTATCATCTTGCACTGTAGGCTTAATTAGTATCATTTTCACAATTGTTGTCGTCATGTAAACAAATTCGGATGGATAAGCCCCGGACATTGCAGCTGTGGGGAAGGTGTTGACTAGGGATGTTGTTTCCTCTCTGCAGTGGCTTGCTTGTATCTGTATATACATATTTTGTATATCGGAATATATGTGCACACCTAACTGTGCCCTCTTGCGTGTCTACATCAATATCATTATCCATGCATATATCCATACCACTGAACATATCTGCAGCGAGAACGGCAGTTCAACAATACTGTCTGCATGCATTTACTGCAATATATCAAAGTGTATTTATATATTTTTTGATATGCCATATATATATGTATATATACATATATGTATATATGCATATATATATATATATATGTGGAAGAAAATGCACATAGGCACATATGGCCTCGAGTATGTATTGACTGAGATACCTGCGCGCGTGCGCCAACAACTACATGCAGTATTGGCATACTTGGACAGTATCTAGATTGTATTTAAATTAACGGTACTGAAGAGCAACTGTGTGCAGTGATGAGTGTGGGGGGCAATGGCACGGAGATGAAGACATGGCAGGAAGTGAAGGAGATGCGCGAAAAGGCAGCAAGAAACGGTAAAAGAGCAGAGACACACTCACTTGAACTTATTTTTCTTGCATTTGAAACTTCATTGTCGTGCTTCATTTCCTCTTGTATGCTACAGTGAATTACCTGTTAGCCTAGACATGCTCAGGACATCGTACTCTTCTTCGTTACGTTGCTGCTGAACTTGCATAGACGCATAGATCTTGTTTTGCAGACCGTAGCAGCACTTGTGCTCTTATTTCAATCTCGTAAGCTGCTTGCTGGGTATCTCCACATGCAGGACCAGAAACAGCGCGCCTCCTCAGCGGGGGTGACGAGAAAAAAGCAGAAAAGGAATCAAAGAACCAAGAGACGGGAAAGAAACGGGAGACTGCTAATGAGACCATCACGATTGAAGATGACGATGTAGTAGCTGAAGCAGTCCAGGAAGTGTAATGCAATGAAACTAATCAAGATCACTGCAGCAACAGCAGCAGCAGTACCTGCTACAGCAGCAGTGGGAGCAACAGGAGCAGGAGCAGCAGCAACAGCTCCCATTTTTCACAAGAGAATTCGGCTACTGGTTGTTCTTTGGGGGGCATACAGGCATATATCTAGTTGTAACGACGGCTGTTTCTACTTATGTGTATTTGTCTTTTGGCCTCCAGTTACAAACAAGTCCGCGGGAGTTAACTAGCGTTTGTATACCCCTGCAGCAACAGAGGTTTGTTGCAGCAGCGTTGGTCTGTTTTTTGCTGTTGTCTTTTTGCCGCCTGTGTCTCCTCATTTCGCACCTTTGCAAAGCTCCTTTGCAAACTCCCTGTCTCTCGGATGTGAGTCTTTCGCCGATAGCCACCTTTCGCTCTTTGCACTTTCCCCGTTTTCCTTTCGCTTGTCCTTTTTCGTGTCTGACTTATCTTCTCTATTTCCTTCGCTGCAGCAGCTGCAGCCGCTGCAGTAGCTCCAGCTCCACCACCACCGGCAGCAGCAGTAGGGGCAGCAAGAGCGACACTGTCACTGCGTATAGCATGTGCTAATGGGACCATAATTTCCCCTTATGTGGGAGCACAACACAGCGAAGTTCATGAATGCCCTGTAGACGCTGCAACAGCAGCAGCACCTTCAGGTGCTGCAGCTGCTTTTGATGCAGAGGTTGTACTCGTGGGGATGCAGTGCACAGCTCAGCCTCTGAGACCCGAAGGGCCGCTCCCCATCTTCAATGAATCTTCGTACCCTTGGGGGTTTCACAAAGAAACGAAAACCCAAGCTCTTTCTTTACCTTCTAATACTTCCGCCGCCACAGAAACACGCCATGTGATGGCATGCATACCATCACAGAGACCTTTCCGTGCATGCATGAATGCATGCCTGCAAGCACCTGGCCTAGCTTGCATTTCCCTACGCAGTTGTTTGCGGGGGTTGTCACTGTGCACGCTACAATGAGCACTGCATACCAACCAGGGAGACATCATATCGGCTTTACAGTGTATACATACTACGCCTTGCGGAGGCCTCGTGGTGGCTCTTTTGCATTCACAAACACTTTGTCCCTTAGCTTGCTAGTACAGAGAGCTTTCGCATGCATTGGGGGGATTCCAAACGCATCGTTATACTTTGGGGTGTCTACAACTGGGGGAAGGCCAATTTTCATCACAATAACAATGGATGCATGATGCAAATACATTTCAGAAGAATGCGTACACTGCGTCAACAGCATCTACGCACATATGCAGGCCCGTATTTGCATATACATGTTAATACCCAAACTTTCATTCAATTTGAGCAAAAGTGTATACCCGCATATATATATATATATATATATATATATATATATATTGTATACGAATGCCTATCGTGCATAATCCACATTCTCTATTGGGGGCCTACAGTATGGTATTTACAGTATATATCTGCAATGAAGACAGGCCTGGGCTGGCCATGCACTCTGAGAGATGTGTGGCTGAGTACTGGGCGCAGCAGAAGTTGTTGTGTGCTTGTGATGTGCTACACTTTCTCGCACTCTCTGCCCAGTCTTACTCTGCTGCCGATGTACCGTCCTCAAGGCTGTTTAGCCCCAGCTGCCTCCTAAGCTGTTAAAGACGGAAAGAGACAGCCCCAAACTTGCATGCACGCTTCGAGTGCATGCATGCGTTGTTGTTCTACACTTTGGTGCAGTGCGCAGGTGCCCCTCCACGTCTCGTACGAGATAATAAACAACAGCCTAAGCAACAGCGTTCAAGCGTTCAAGCCTAAGAGGGCTGAGATGCTTACGCAAATTGCACTGACGGGGGTGGGGACTGGGGAAGGGAGAGCTCAAAGAACGCACAAGACCAGGGGCTCTACTGTAGCATAGCTGCAGCAGCATTGCTGCAGCAGCCTTTCAGCAGCAACTCAGCTGCACCAGCAGTTGGGCTGGTGTTTCCTGGTGGAGATGGGCTGCCCCATACAGTTGGTTCGGTCATACGTTTTGATATATCTGTCGGGGAGATAGGCCATAACCACAGGCGGTAGGAGACCCTCAGAGCCCTGAACAACGCAGCGCAACAGGCAGCAGGAGATCCCCAACCACCAGCATTATGCACTGCTTCTGTCTCTACGCCAGAGACAGCCACAGAAAACTATCGACCGCAGGGAACTGTCCGTCGCTATCTCTGAACCCCACGAAGCACAGGAAGAGACGTCCTTATGCATGCATACAGCAACGTGTGGGTGCATGCATGGACGGCGGTATGCACGTGCGCTGCATGCATGCATGTGGGGCTGCATGCATGCATGCAGGCATGCGGCGCTATTATATTCGCATGTGTATATGTATGCACCGTCAACGTGGAGAGTTTCTTATCTTCAAGCTTCAGGAAGAGGCGCGAAGCCCTGGACATCTTGCGCAGCGTTGCTCTTTTTCTCATGACATCAACGACTGTCTCCTTTACAGCGGCGGAGGAAAGGGCCTTGCTGAGCTGCAGCATCTCCTCCGCTGGGATCCGATCCCCAGCATCGCAGGCGTTCACGTATTCCTGTGTCGTCGCGTCATACGTAAACTTGCGACTCTCCAGAGGACGGACTGCATACAGAAACAGAAAAGAAGGCTTTAATTGAGATAGAGACAAGAAAACGGCTATTAAATGGAGACAGAATATTAGTAAGGCATTGCACTGACCCGAGACAGAGACAGCAATAAAGCCACTATGGTGAAACAAAGGCAATAATATAAATAAAGGACAAGAAGAAAGACAAGAAAAAAGGCATTAAAGCTGAAATAGAGACAGTGATAAAGACATTACGCTGTAAAGGGGACAACACGCAAGACACCAAACAGAAACTGAGAGAATACATACGACATAAGAAAGGAACAGCGACAATAATAAGTAAAGGTATTCAAGCAACAAGAACGCGGAAAACAAACAAGCGAAGAAAGACATCCAAGAGAATTCGAGGTAGACGGGAAAACGCACACCCCACGAACTCTGCAACAACAGAAATTACTGCAAGCATTAAAGCGGGAGACAATGAAGGCAAAAAGGAATCAAAATAGACTCAACTCAAGCAGCAGCTTCCGGCCAATGCAAATGAGACAAAGAAGCCACAGGCAAACCGACAGGCTAGGGCTAATACAAGAGAGAGAAAGGAAACGAAGGAGGCAGAGTCTCTCAAAGCAACTGTCTCCTTCCTCTGTTCTTACCCTCCTCCCCTACAGGTAGCACTGGGGAGTTTGTTGTTGCGTTCCACTGCTTAACGCCCTCTACATAAATGCCGGAGTTGACTGCTTGAAGTCCTGTTGATTGTTTTTGCAGTTGCTCCGAGTTGTCTGCGGCTGCTGCTTCTGCTGCAGTGGCTTGCTTCGAGGTGAAACCTGTATACCCAGACAAGGCACGAGAATACACCCAAGAAGAACCCTTGCGAGGGGCCTCCCACTCCCCCTCCCCCACCATCTTATTCAAATCTTCAGTTTGCTGCTGTAGCTGTGGCTGCTGCTGCAGGTGCTGCAGCACAGCCAAAGTCAGTTTATCCGTGTCCAGAGGAGCATCATAATGTGCCTGTGTTTCGCCTTTCTGCTGCTGCCAGTAAGGGGAGCCCTCGTTGAGCTGCTGCTGCTGCTGCGCCAGATTCCGTCGCTGCCTCTCCTCCCATTGCCGCTGGTCTACCCAATGGTGCTCTTCCGAACCCTGTTGCTGCTGCTGCTGAGGGGCCTCCATTTGCACGACTTGGCCGTGGTGTAAGTGCTTCAAGAAGTTGTTTCCTTCGGTGCCTTCAGCAGAATTGCCTCGGGGCGTCATGTACTGTGCGCTGCTGCTTCTGCTGCTGGCCATTCTACCAAGGCAGCAACGGAGGTGAGAGCCTGCACAAACAAACAGCAGCAGCAGCAGCAAAGGGGATAGTTAGGTTACACAGCAATCTGACACAGACCGCTTGGTGTATACAGTGCGTGCGCTTGAGGGAAAAACAGCTTCAGGCAGGAGCAGCAGGAGGAGGAGCCATCGCAGCAGCAGGAGCAGAAGCAGCTGCCAGTACCGTACAGCTGCAGCAGCAGCTGCGTTTGCCTGTAGGTTGGTGAGCTCGTTGTGCCCCCTATGCCTTCTCTCTTATTCAATTTCTTTTCAATAATAAACAAAATAAGACGTCGCCTGCATGCGAGAGAATATGAGAACAACACCGAGGAGGAGGCTGTGGCTTGCCGCTGCTGCTGCTGCTGCTGCTGCTGCTTAGAGAGGGCTTAAAAGGAAGAAGACGAATTGCTGCAAAGACGCATATTACACCCTTGACTCACTTGAAATTACAGAGCGGCTTAAACGCCGTTTCTACTGCTGCACGCAGCAGCCGACAGACACAGGAGAAGAACAAAAATACAGCCTCGATGCGGCGGCGGCGCTGCTGCTGCGGAGGCCCGAAGCAAATAATAAAAACAAGGAAGGGAGAATGTACTAAGGAAAGGAAGACAAAATGAAAATATAAACAGGACGAACGGAGGAGGAAGAACAACGCAGTCGAACGCTACTACTGGGTACTAGCGACCTGCAGCAGCAGCAGCAGCAGCAGCCGCTGCTGCTGCTGCTGCTGCTGAGCAGCTAGAACAGGCCTCGATGCGAACGCAGGCAGTGTTGGGGTTTGCATATCGTCTCCTTGTGCTTCCCTCTTCAATTTTCTTTATTTATTCGAATATTTTTCATTCTATGTGAGGAATTTTCCTCAGTAAATGCAGCCTACCCTAACAGCCTGTTGTATAAGGGCCTCCCGTTGCAACTTCCACTAGCTGCTGTGCTGCTGTTGACTGTGCTCGTTTCAAGTTCTTTGCTGCAACTCCTCTGTCTCCTTCTAGTCTTCTGCAGACCAGAACACAACCGAGCAGTTGCTCGAGGTGTACGCAGCAGCAGCGTGTGCAGCAGCAGAGGCAGCGTGCGCTGCAGCTGAGGGATTCCGCGACAAAGAGCCCAGCGGGGACAGCGGCAGCAGCAGCAGCAGCAGCAGCACAAAAACAGCAACGGCTGCAATCTGCAATGGATGGCTCGGAGGGTTCGGGTCCCAAGTTGCTGCTGATATTTGCGTTGGTAGTTGCGTGTCTTCTTCCCTTCGGGCCTCATTTGTTATATTTCAGAACTCTATCGCCTCACCCAGTTTTTTTCCCTCTTTCTTGCGTCATTGCATTCGCTGTTATTTGCGCCATCGTCTACTCAGTGCTCCGCTGCCGAGAAGCAGACGAAGAAGCAAGAAGGGAAGAAGCAGCAGCAACGCTACTGAATAGAAAGCCTCTGAGGTTCCTCAACAAACGCTGGAGGAGGAGGTAGAAGAAACACATTGAAAGGAGACAGACAGCCAGGAAGGGGACAGGCGGAAGAAACAGAGTGGGAGAGGAACAAGCAGAGAGACAACGAGAAAGAGACAAAGAGGCACTTGTGTGTCTCCTCACATACATCAGCATTTGAATGTCTCCTTAAAAGAAGTCCTCTTTGGGCTTCTACACGAGGTGTCTTCGCCCAGGGCTTCCTCATAACCCTAAAGGCTAGTCCCTATCTAGCAGTCTCCTCCTTCGGCAGCAGGAGCAGCATCAACTGCTGCTGCAACAGCAGCCGCTGCACCAGGAGCGGCACCCACACTTATCAGCAGCCGCAGCAGCAGGAGCCGCAGGAGCAGCAGAAGCAGTATCGGCGTCATCCGCAGCAACAGAAGCAGCAGAAGCGCTCATATTGGGGGTGGCAGCATCAGCAGCAGCAGCACGGCTCGTAGTAGGAGAAAAGCAGCAGCAGCAGCAGCACCCAGAACGAGATGGCAACGGAGAGCAGCATCGCTTCAGCCTTCGCTGCAGCAGCGAAGGGCCAGAGTTCGTTCCCGGTGGGGCAGCTAGCAACGGCAGCAAGGGCAGCAGGTGCTTCTCCTTCTTTAGCTGAGGTGAAGCGCTTTGGAGATAAGTGTGGCGCTTCTGTTGGTGCTGCTGCCTTTAAGGAGTTTTGCATGCAAACATCGCACAAAGACTCAGAAGAAGACCTACTGGCTTTGTTTGAGGCAATGGACTTGCAACTGACAGGGAAGGTGAAGAAGAAGGACATAAAAAAGTGTCTCCTTACATTTGGAGAGCCACTGACCCAACAAGAAGCAGATGCTGTCTTAGATGAACTCTTCCCAGAAGAAGAAGACATTCCTTATCAGGTCTTCATCCAAAAACTGCTGCTCTAGAGGAGACGCTTGCTGTATCCTTTTCTCTTTCTGCTGTCTCTGCTTGTGTCTTTCCTTCCCTGTCTCCCGTCTCGGCCTGTGTCTCTCCTCTTTCTCCTGTCTCTTCTTCTCTCTCCCTCTCTATCTACTCTCGCTGCTCCTGTTGCTGCTTCTTTCTCTGCTTCTGATTCTCGTCTGTTGCTGCTTCTGTGTTCTGTCTGGCTTCAATCTCTTTCCCTCTGCTCTTGTCTCTTTGCCTGTCGCTGCTTCGGTCTCTTCGTTTGTTCATATGCTGCTCTGATTCTGACCCGGCGGCTAGCTGCAGTTTGAGGACAGACAGAGGCGGAAACGGAGACAGGAAAGGAGACAGAGAATTAGGCAGAGACAGATGCTGCTGCAAGCAGAACACCAGACTGCACTCGCACAAAGAGACACATGCAACACGGGGAGCTGCAGCATGCATACACGCGCGCAAGCGCTAGCCCTAGCAACAGCAGCAACAACAGCAGTGTGCATGCATGTATACATGCATGCTGAGGTGTGGGGTCTCGTGAGAGAGCCGCAAAACAAGAAAACTTTGTGGTCTCTGCTGCGGCTGCACGCAGCAGCAGCATAGAACAGCCAACAGAGACAAAGTCTCTCTCAAACAGACAATATAATATGTATATTTAATCTATAAAATGCATGCAACGATATATGCATATAATATATGTATGTATGTATGTATGGAGAGACAGAGAGAGAGAGAGAGAGAGAGAGGCAAGTTCCTTGTGCTGGGTGCTTCTAGTGTTGCCCTTTTTTAGCTAATGCTGGTACTGCTGTTTTGGCAAACTGACCGGAGAAAAATGAAAAACAGCAGCAGCTGCAGCCTCACATGGTTTTTTTCGGTCACTTTGCTGCCGCTGCTGCAGCAGGAGACATATTCAAGTCCAGACCGACAAACACAATAGAGAGAGAGCACCAGAGACGAAATAAGAGCAAGCAACAAACGGAGACACAAGACAGAGGCACGGAGAAAGGCAGAGAGGGACACAAGCATGCTAAAAGGGAAATGCGCAAACAGAAATAAACAGAGGAAGTTGTGCTGAGTCTGGGACTCGCCGAAGGCAATGAGGCACTCCTATACTCCTCCCTTCTTCGCTCTTCGTGGATTCATATGCTGCGAGCATGGAGCCAGGTAAGGAGAACGCTGAGCGACGGCAGCTCCCTAGGGGAAGCAGTGGAGCGTAAGAAGCACATGAAGCAGAAGCACCAGCACCCGCAGTTGCTGCTGCAGCTGTTGCTTCTGCTCGGTTTTTCTATGCTTTGCCTACAAGTTCGTCTGCCTGTCTGTGCAGCAACCTAATATCTCCTGCTGCTGCAGAGTTGTTCGTTGCTTGCCGACGTGTGCGTCCGGTGTATATACACACACAGAGATACGTAGCCCTAGCCCCTCATGATGCGTGCACCTGTCTCCTTTCGCCTTGCTGTCTCTTTTGGGAGCTTCTAGTCAAACTGTCTCCTTTCTGGGCCCGCTGCCCAGCGACAATAGAGAGGAGACACCGCTGACAATCTATACACAATTGCATGCTGCCCTCCGTCCCTACAGCTTAAAAGGGGAGTAAAGGGCCTCTACATGCATGCGGCGAAGGCAAACCCTAAATTCAAAGCCTATGCTCTAAGCCCTCAGCTCTAAAGCCAAACCCTAAACCCTAGAGCGGAACCCTGAAGAGCCTTCGGAGTGGGGTCCGTGAAGCCACGAACCGTTACCCGCGTCTGGTTGTGCTATTTTGCGGAGACAAAAGAGGAGACATTCTACAGGCGGCAGAGGACACAGTTTCCTTCTGCTGTTCGTCTAATTCTGAGTACGGTGTATGGTGCATTCTTTTGCCTGTCTCTAGATAGCTGGTAGCAAACTGAAACCCCTTCGTTTCTTCCTTCTGTAAATCAGCAAACACGCAGCGAAGGAGACATCCTCCAGCGCAGGTGCAGCCTCCAGGCTGTCGGAGACAGTGAGAGGCAGTCTTTTTTCATGCCCTAAGGCATATGGAAACCATGAGGAGACAGTCTCCTGCACTAGGAGACAGAGAAGTTGGGAGGAGGAGAGTCCCCTGCGGTGGGAGGCAGAGTACTGGGAGGAGACAGTCTCTAGGAGACAGAGAATTAATAGGAGGCAGTCCCACCAGAAAAAAACAGAGGATTAGGAAGGCGAGACAGTCCCCTGTAAGAGGAAACAGAGAAATGGGAGGAGACAGCCTCCTGCACTAAGAGACAGAGAATTGCAGAGGGGCACTATCCCCTGCAGTGGAGATAGGGAATTACGCGGACACGGCCCCTTGCAGTATGAGATAGAGAATTGAAAGGAGACAGTCTTCCGTAGAAGGACGCAGAGAAATCAGTAGAAAGAGACAGTCACCTGCACTAGGAGACAGAGAATTGGGAGGAGACAGTCTCCTGTAGTCGATGAGAGAAAAAACGGAGATGTAGACAGTCTCCTGTTCGCTGCAGGAGACTGCCTGTTCTTCTTGGGGTCTGTTGCTTCTCCCACTGCCTTCCCGCGTGCTCTATTGCTGTCTTCTCATGCTGGAGAGGGTACCGGATGGGCCTCAGTCAAAACGAAGTGGCGTCCCTCTTCGGAGACAGGAGTCGCTTAAACAAGTAGGAGACAGTCAGACTTTCGGGTGTCTGCAGGCCAAGGCCGTCTCCTCCATCCACCCGAAGCTGCTGCGTTTCTCTTCTCCTTTTGTTTCTTGTGTCTCTTTTGTCCCTGTCAGCCACACCTGATTCCTGAAAAGGAGAGGGCTCAATAGGGCTTCAAGCTGTGCAGCAGCCTCTACGTTAAGCCCATAGGGAGACAGAGTGGCTAAGTGACTGGGATGAAGTCTTCATTTTCCTCTTTTTCTTCTTCCTCTCATGCATGTGCAGCTGCTGTTGCCTCCGTCTCTGTATCGATCCTTGTCTCGCTGAGGGGGCTCCCCCTAGGAGACTGTCTCCTGTCTCCTGCTTCCTCGGGCTGCTGGAGACAGCTCGGCCTGGTGCAAGAAGAGAAACTCACGCTCGAATCAACAATAGCCGCGCTCCCAAGGCAATGGGGGCAACTGATAGCCTACGAAGTAGTAGGTGGTAGGCAGCGGGTAGTCTGCAGCTGCAGCAGCAGCACCAACATCAGCGGGATTAGCAGCAGCAACAGCTGCTGCTGATGCTGCTGATGTTGCACGCAGCGCCTCTGCGCAGTCCCTTAGGAAGACAGCAAATCCTGCCGTCCCCTCAAAAAGACTGAAGGGCCTATCTGGTGTACGAAGGAGTTGCTGGTGTCTCCTAATGCCTTCCAAGGCAAACAGCAGCGCGCGGCGCAGCCAGCGAGGAGACTTTGTGCTGCTGAAGCAGCACAAAAGAGACAACCCGTTACCTCCTATCCCGTGACATAAACCCAGTCCCTTCCTGAGTAAACCCCGAGTAAACACTGTCTCTCCCAGCGCCTCCACCCACTCTATGAAATGATTCAAGTCTTCTAAACGAAGAGACGTGTCTTCTGCTGCGCTAGACCAGCGACGGCGGTACAACTGAGGCACACACTCCTGCTGCTGCTGCTGCTGCTGCTGCTGTTGCTGCGCACGCAACGGTGCAGCGGACGACGCCCAACTACTGCGGCCGCCGGCGCCTTCTTGCTGCTGCTGCTCCCGCTGTTGCTGCTGCTGGGCCCGCAGCAAGCACACTTTGTCTCTGTGTATATCGACTGCCCAGCAGAGGAGCGGCAGCAAACCAGGCGCCCCGTGGCACCACTGAACGAGGAGATCTCTGCTGCTGCCGATACTGCTTTGGAGGTTTGCTGAGTTTGTGAGGTGGAAGCGCAGCAGCGCCACCAGAGAAGAGAGACACAACCTGCGCACGCTGTCTCTTAAAGCAGCAGCAGCAGCAAGCCCGTCCTTACAGCAGAGAAAGGCCGTAGCAGCAGCACAAAACACAGGCACCTCTTCTGACCCCCTTGTCGGCTGCATCCCTCTGCAGAAAGAAGCAGAGCAAGTCAGCAGCCGCGCTGCTGCAGCCTCAGCCTCCTCCCGTGATGCTGCTTCTTCTGTTGAGGTACCCGCACCACTAGCCGTCTCAGTAGCGCTAGCAGCAGGTGCAGCTGCGCGGTTGGAGGGCCCCGGGAAGCAGCCTGCAGCAGCAGCATGGTATAGAGTATCGACTGCATGCAGCAGCTGCAACAACACCCCACACACGCCATGCGCTGCTCCTAAATATTGTTTGTCATGCCACTCATAGAGCAACGGGAGAGGTTCTGCCTTTGAAAAGGCAGCAGCAGCAGAAGAAGGCAGCAGCCGTTCATGCTCTTCCAGCTCCAAAGGCTGCATGCTGCTGCTGCCTTCGTTAGCGACTGCTGTTGCTCTTCCTTGTGCTGTTAGCTGCCCCACCAGCTGCGCTATTAGTGCCAGCAGCAGCACGCGTGTTGCGCCTCTCTCCCCGCACATACATGCGCCCGAGCAACAGCCGCATCTGCTGCCGCTGCTGCTGCTGCTTCTGCTGAAGCTGCTGCTGCTGTCGAATCGGCTACTACTGCCTCCGCTGCTACTGCTGCTGCTAAAGCTTTTGCTGTTGCCGTAGTTGAGAGACATTGGCCACCTGAAACTCGCGCTGCTGCCTTCCAACGAAAGAGTTGTAGCACGCTGCAAATACATCTCCTCCGTCTGAGCCCTCCTTCCGCTGCTGCTGCTGCTCCTACTGCTGCTGCTGCTGGTGTCTTGGTTGGAGCAGTCGCTGAAGAGGCCTGCCGCTGCACTGGTCGACTGGGTTTGTCTCGCTGCGAGCAAAGAGAAGAAAGAAGAACAGCCGGAGGGAGGGGGAGGCAGCCACAAGCAGCGAGTAAACAGCAGCGCGTACAGCAACCCGGCCCGTCCATACAGGAGCTCACACTCCTCGGGCTGCATACGTGGCAGCCCTGCTGCCGCTGCTGCTGCCAGCCGACGCAGCACAGAGAACGCCTCCCGCTGCGCGCCCCAACACCCCACAAACACTCACCGGTATATACACCCCAAACGAACACCCACACACAGAACCAAAATACATCAAAAATTAATAACTCTAAGCACAATTCACCCTCTGCAACCTGGAAACCAGCAACATCTAGCAAACAAAGAGACAGTAGCAGCATCAGAGACAGCAGCCAGAAGCAGCAGCAGCAGCAGCAGTTGTTGTTGTTGCTGCTGCAGCAAGAACAACAATGTCGGATGCTTGCCTCTCTATTTAGAAGGTGAAGGGCCACTGCGGTCAGAGCCAAACGACCGACATATCCCTGAAGGAAGGTGAAGCGGCGCCGCAGGGACCTTTCTGCTGCTGCTGCAGCTGCTGCTGCTTCTGCTGCTGCTGCTGAGCCTCCGCATTCTCGTTCATGGGAAGAAGACAAGATGGCGAGGGCCTCATTTAAGGCTTCTTCTGCTGTTTTAGATGCCGCAGCAGCTTCTGCCGCTGCTGCTGTTGCTTCTGCTGCGGGGATTGACGATGGTGCAGCTTCTCCCCCGCTGGCTGTTTGTATGCAGCGCCTCTTTGCCTCTGCAGCTACCATTAGTCGCTCTGCCTTCCTATACCAACACCACAAAAAACAGCAGCACACAAAGCTTAGAAAGCGGCAGCAGCAGAGGCCGCAGCACCAGCATCAGCAGCCGCAGCAGCAACAGCAACAGCAGCAGCAACAGAAGCAGCAGCAACTGTAACTGCAACAGCAGCGGGCGTTCCAAGGCTACCCAGCAGCTGCTGTTGCTGAAACAGCAGCAGGTGCAGAACCAGTAACGCTTGATCAGCGTGGCCCAGCAGCAGCAAGATCAGCATCACCAGCAGCCTAAGGAGGGGGAGCAGCAGAAACCGGACCTAATCAAAGCATAGGCCACCCCAGCATCTCCCAAGTATATACAGCCTGGAATAGAGTCCTCATGAGGGGGAAGCTGCTCCATGTACTCCGCTGCTGAGTCAAGAAGGCTTGCCAGCGAGAGCAGGCTGCTGGTGCTGCTGCTGTTGCTGTCTATCCCTTCTGCTGCTGCTGTTGCTGCTGCAACGCGCTCACGGTCCCACCAGCCGCAGGAACCCAATGCAGCCGCCGCCTCAACTGCAGCGCGACGAATCTCATCCCCGTCATCACTACGGAAAGGGGTGAAGTAGCGGTTTGCCATTGCTGTGGCTGCTGCTGCTGCTCACTGCCGCTGTTGCTGCTGCGGCCAGTTGTCTTCGCGGCGCACCTACTGCTGCTTTTCTCTGCCGGCTTCTTTGCTGCCTGTCAGCGTCCTGCGGGAATCCAGCTCGGCGCGAGACAGGAAGGTTGCACTGAGAAAGAAACTATGAAAGCTCCTGCTGCTGCTGTTTCCGCCTGTTACTCCTGTGGCATTCTGGGTGTTGAGGATGCACTGCTGCTGAAACCTACTGCTGCGTCTTCCGTCTGGTGTGGTTTGCTGATAAACTCAGGACGAAGCCCGCAGCAGCAGCCGCGACAGGGAGCAGCAGCAGCAGCAACGGCAGCTCGTGTGGGGAGAGAGAGGGCGCTCAAAAGCTCCAAGTAAAGAAGAAAGAGTCATTGAAACTCAAAAATTATGTTTATTCATACACGCAACGACCAGCAGCAGCGGCAAACTGCTGCTGGCGGTCGCTGTGCTGGGGGCCCCTCATGTGTGCGCAGCAGCAGCAGCTGCTACTGCTGCTCCTGCAGCGGGTTTATGTCACTGCATCTCTCTTTTTAATAGTATTATAATACACTAAGGAGTTCTTTGCTCCCCTCTAGACCCACAGAAGCTGGCGCTGCCCTGAGGTATTGCTGGAGGCCCCCTTCTGCCCCCAGCAGCGCCACGAGGCGAGTGAAGAAGTTCTGTCTTTCTCCTTCAATAACTGAAATAATAATTTTGAACCCTTGTTTTAATTAGTTCTTTTTAATTGTCCTCTTCCTTTGTGCACGTAGCTCCGCCCGTCGGCCGCTGCCTAGGGCAGGAAGGCCACCACCTTGGGGGGGCAGCAGTAGCAGCAGGTGCTGCTGAGATCGCTGTTGCATTAGTAGCTGGTGCAGCGGGAACAGCTGTGCTGGCTGCATAATCGACACGCTCAGCTTGGGGGGCCTACCGAATTCAGAGGAAAGGCAAGGAGTTCTGCAGCAACGCATGCACGTGCACCGAACCAGCAGCAGCAGGAACTGTAGGAGCAGCGGCAGCAGCAACAACGGCAGCAGCAGCAACGGCAGCAGCAGCAACGGCAGCAGCAGCTGCGGCAGCAGCAATCAAACGGCATGAGCGGCAGTACAACGACAATGGAGCCACCAGCGTCACGAGCAGGCAGCAGCGCAAAAACTGAAGCACCAGCGGCAGCAACACAGCAGCAACATACATGAACAGCAGCAGCAGCCTCAAAGCTGCAGCAGCAGCACAACAGACGGTAGACACCAGTTGCAGCCTCACCTCCGCATGCGACCATATGAAACCATGGCTATCGCGCCAGCAGCAGCAGCAGCAACAGCAGCAGCAACAGAAGCACCTGAAGGGACAGCAGCTGCAAGCCTAATGGAAGAGGAGCCTATGCAAGGAGAGATGGAGCAGAAACAAGCAGGTGAGCTATCTGCCGTTGCAGCAGCTGCTGCTTCTGCTGCTGGTACTGTCTTTGACAGCCACGTGAAGGAACGCGCGATGCAGATGCTGCTGCTGCTAAAACAAGACCCGCAGCAGCAGCACCACCACCACCATCAGCAACAACAGATACTTGGCAGGAAACATCATCGAAAGGCGCAGCAGCCACGGCATCAGAGAACAGCAAATGCGGGTCTCCATGCACAGGAGCAGAGGGGTCGGCAAACTCAACACTACAGCAGTAGCAGCGGCAGCAGCAGCAGAAACGGCAGGAGCTGCAGCAGCAGGACGAGCAGCAGCATCAGCAGCAGCAGCAGCAGGACGAGCAGCAGAGGCAGCAGCGATGGCAGGGAGGGGACGACCCAGTGCAGCCGCTGCATGCGTCTGCAGCAGCGGCTGCGATTAGAGCGGCTGAGGAGGAGAGAAGGAGACAAAGAAGCGAAGCAGCTGTTTGTTCGTGTTGCTGCTCAGGTGGCAAGTTTGAGGTCAGTCTCTCTTATAGCACTTTAATTTCACATTAATTTGTCTCTGTGTTTCTTCTTTCTGCCTGCATGCATTTGAATTCCCACTGGGTTCTCTTTACCTACGCGAGCAGTCTGCTGCTATGCACTCACGTGCCCTGCCGTGCTGCTGCTTCTGCTGCTGCTGCTGCTGCTGCTGCTGCAGCGGAGAGGCGCGGGAAGCTGCTGCTGCTGCGGCGGCCGCCGCCGCTACGGCGTCGTACAACAGGCAGCAGCAGCAGCTGCAGCAACACCAGCAACTGCTGCTGGAGGAAAAACGAACATCTGCTGCTCTCCAGAAGCAGCTCCGCCTTTTGCAGGCTGAGGTTGACAGACTACAGCAACAGCTGCAGCAGCAGCAGCAGCAGGTACGCCGTAGCACAGAAGGCGGGTCCGCAAGTTGTCTTTGTCGCATTTTCTTTTTTTTTCGTTTGCTTCTGCTGTTGTTTCGTTTGCTTCATGTGCTCACGCTGGGTATAGTAGAGCTGCAGCCATCCTGATGCTGCTGCTTCTGCTACTACTTCTCTTCCTACTCTTGCTGCTCCTGCTGCTATTACTGCTACTCCAATTGCTGCTCCAGCCGCTGCTGCTGCGGCGTCTGCGCTGCTGCCTTCAGGATGGGTCGCAGAAGCAGCAGCAGGAGAAGCACCAGCAGCAGCAGGAGAAACAGCAGCAGCAAGTGCTGTTGCTGCTGCAGCGACATTCTGCTTCTCTAGTTGAACAGCTCATGGGCCAAGTCGATCCTCTGCTACAGCTGTCGTTGCTGCGGGTAGAGCGCTTGGGTTTGCAGCTGCAGCAGCTGCAGCAGCGGCAAGACAGGCAGAGGCAGCGGCACCAGCTGCAGCAGCAGCAGCAGATACAGCAGCATCATCACCAGCAGCAGGTACAGCAGCATCATCACCAGCAGCAGCTGTCGCCCACACCTTTGTCTTCCGTGGGTTTAGAATTGCATCTGCCGCAGCAGCAACTGGAGCAGCAGCTGCAAGTGGTGCAGCGGGAGCAACTGGAGCAGCAGCAAGAACAACTGCAACAGCAGGGGCAACTGCAGCCGCAGCGGCAGGCGCAGCACAGTCAGCAGCCTTTGCTGCTGCGAGGCAGAGGCAGCGAAAGCACCAGCAACCCTGACGGGCTGTGGGGAGCAAAGGCGCCACCGGAGGTACTTCTAGGGCCCTTGCCTCCTTACAATCCGCTACAGGAGCAGCACCAGCAGGAGCAGCACCAGCAGCAGCACCTGCAGCAGCTGCACCTGCAAAAGCATGGGGTATTGCCTTCAGGGCCTTCTGGGGTGTTGCTGCCCCCTCGGTCTGATGCATTTTTAGCTGCTGCTGCCTCTTCTTTATCTCTCTCCTCTCCAGACCCTCTCTGTAGCGGGGCCGTGCTTCCTCCTGCTCTCGCTTTTGCTCGCGCCGCTGCTGCAGCAGAGGGGGTCCTGGAAGGGCCTGCTGCATCAGATGTGCGCCGCTGCTGCGGCTGCTGCAGCGGCAGCAGCAGCCGCAGCAGGATGAGGGGAGAGGTGCTGCCTCACATGCAAGACACTGGCATCCAGCGAACTTCTCTCCTGTCAAATGCAAGCGTAGGCACAGGCCGCCCGCGCTCTGCTGCTCCTGCTGCCCCAGCTGCGGTTCCTGCTGCAGCTCCTCCTCCTGTTTCTGCTTCTGCAAAGGCTGTATGCGGGCACCTGCTTGCTGCGGGGTCTGCCTTGCCGGTGTGTACGGCTGCCCCTTCCAGTACACCGCAGAGGCTTGAAAAGTCTCCAAGGGCCCAGAGTCTCCTTTCTTATCCCTTCTGCATAAGTGCCACAGCTGGCCCGCTTTCGGCTGCCTCTGCTGCTGAGAGGAGACAGCCTCTAGGGGCGCCCCCAGCAGCAGCAGGAGCAGTGGCGTGGAGATTGCTGCTCCCTCCGCCTGCTGCTTCTGCTGCAGGAGCTAGCGACGCCTCGACGCAGCACCGCGGGGCTACCGACCCCTTGTTGCTGCTGCAGCAGCAGCAGCAGAGAATGTATCTGGAGGGTAGGAGTTTGGCTGTTGCTGAACCGCAGCAGCAGGTGAGGGGCCCTTCTTTGGCTGCTGCTTCGTCAAGACCAACAGAGGGAGATGGCGGGATGGCCTCTGCTGGTACAACTGCTGATGCTACTGCTGCTGCACAGCAGCAGACGTCAGACCATCTGGTACCTGCGCAGCAACGAATGCCTGAGGACGCCAGGTACGGAACGGACACGCAGCAACAGCAGCAGCAGCAGCAACAGCATCCGGCCCGTCGGTTGGTGAGCGAGGGGACGCAGGGCTTCTTCGGGCTAGAGACGACAGCTGGGCGGCAGAGAATTTCGAAAGGAGACACAGAGGAAGTGAGACAGCAAGAGGAAGCTGCTGCGGAGGCAACAGGGCGCTGGGGGAGACTGGCGATTGCTGAAGACGTGCTGCAGCAGCAGCAGCAAGAGGGCAGCAGCAGCACGCCGCAGCAGCTCGCGCAGAGTTGCAGCGCTTCGAGCTTGTCCGTCGAGTTGCAGCGACTGTCTGCTATGGAGGTGCCGCTGCGGCAGTTGGTGCAAGACCAGGAAGCCTTGCTGCAGGGCCTGGACTCTGCCTACGGATCCACAGCAGCAGCAGGTGCTGCTGCTGCTGCTGCTGCACCCGCCAGGCAGAAACGAGAAAAGAATAACCACGCTACCGTCGCAGGCTTGCAAATAGAGACGCTCAATAGAGCAGCACCGCAGATGGGCCCCGAGGCGAGGCTATCCGACTCCATTGGTCTCCTCAAGGGGACAGACACCGCAGCAGCAGCCGCTGAGCTGCAGAGCAGCAGCAGGTTCAGCGCTGCCGCCACAGACGAGTAGGCCATAGGAGAGCGATGTTTGTTTTGCTGCAACTTAGGCTTGAGATGCTGCAGGCAACGAGGTAGGGCGGCGCTGAGTTGCGGTTGTTTTTGTAGTGTGTTTAGGGGACTGTGCAGCGGTACAGACATCAGGGTAGGCATGGGAAATCATGATTTCATTAAATAGCTCCAGCAGAGCGAAACAGGGTTTCTTGCTGAGGTGTCTGTACACCTTGAGTCTGCTGTCTTGGTGGTACTGCCTTCAGACTTGCTGCAGCACTGTAGGCCGGCTGCTTGTAGGGGTAACTGCTGAGTAACAGGGATTGTCTATGCCTACTACTGTGTAACAGAGGACTTCATTAGCAACTTTGGTCCCTTTTGGGGTGAAGAGGCAAGGGCCCAAGGGACATCACAAAGCCCCCTTTCGTACATGTACTGACACGGTAGACAGTTGATAAATACTTGCAACACCGCCGCTAGAAGACGGCCTGCATGCAAGTAGAAGCGCATGCAACAACTTTACCCAAACTATGCTGCAGGTGGAGGGAGCCAAAAGGGGCAATATGGGCCGAGCTGCATGCAGATGCATCTTTTTCCCCCTATTCAAAGGCCTAGCACCATGCAAATGCATCATTTTTTCCCCATTGGAAGGCACGCAAAACCCCCTGAGGCGACTGTTGCAGCCAACCGGGAGACGGAGAAGCGGGACATGTTGTTATTTTTGCTGTTGTTGTTATCTGTGCAAATTCCTTCGCAGTACCCTCTGTGTATCACGGTATGCCAAACTTTAAGAGCATCCATCCGACTGAAGGTGTCTTTGTAAACAAAAGAGTTCACAAAAAGTGCTTTCCCCCTTGCCCCCAGTCTGGATGTGACGGCGTTGTGGAGGATTTCTTTTTTGTACTTGGACGAAGCATTCGTATAGAACGCCGCAGTTTCTACTGGTACTTTTATTCCGAGGAGACGCACGAAAATTGTCGCTAAATAGAAGGAGCAAAGAAAACAACTGCCATTTGCCATTACAGTTGTTCAGCATGCGCTGATATGTGGCTTTTTCTTAACTACGAAGCAATCAGGAAGGCAATAGAAGATGGTTGGTAGAACAGAGAGAACTTCAACAGGGGGGGCAATATAGATAGAGCGGTACAACGAGAAGTACCAGCCCGTAGTAGCGAGAACAGAAGTCCAACAGTGCGCTCCAAACTTATCTATCAATGCTTCATATCAGCGCACATACGAGGGTAGAGGGGCACATATACGCCTTTCTACGTCTCTCTTTGCTGTCACTTGCTGCTCTCCTATTCAGTCGAGCCCCTTGTATATTGTGGGGTTGGGCCCCACACTTTGGGGCTTTCTGGACAAACTTTCCGCAGAAAAGGTTGTCCAGAAAGCATCAAAGTGTGGGAGGTTTCTGCTTTCTGAACAAGATACAAGCTCCCGTCAATCCCAGTCTCGATTCGCGTCTTGCTCACTTATATGTTCCCAGCAGCTCTGACAACAAGTTACTTAAATCCAGCTTGTTGCCTCTCTCTTAAGAGATCCAATATCGTGTCTGTTGATACAGGCAAGAATAGCTTCTTGATCGCTTTGCCGGCTTGATGACCTCATGCAAATCTGCAACCGTTCGGATCATGTCATCTGTACTGTTAAACGTCTAGATAGCATGCCCAAAGTGTGTTGCTGTTACGATCGTTTGTACGGATTGACAGCCCATCCCTCCATTTGAAATGGGTTGATGGAACACGTCGGTTGTTATGTCCTTCCCTGAACGGCACGTAGATGACGACCAAACACGACCAATTTTTTTAAGGGTAGCAATGCCTCAGGTGATAGTCCAGCTGCGACATCACA